TTTTTATGCGAGAAAAAATAATTTAAAAGATAATCTGTGAGTTTTGATTGGATAATTCTAAAGAAAAGTCATCAAGAGGGGCCGTGGCTAAGTTTGATTGGACAAGCAGTGAAGCCTCTACTATATATATAAGAAGAGCAGATGCTTTCCACTTTCAACGCATAATAGAATGTATCATGAAAACAAGAACAAAGGTAAACCTGACATTTTGACATAGTTTCGAGAAGGAAAATTTCCCCCCTGGCAAGAAGCATGAAAAAGATCTCAAGGATAACTGTACAGCTAAATTTCAAGGTGACTATACATATAATACATTTGCATATCATATTTCAATTTTTTCATTTAAAACAGAGTTCGTAAATTAGTTATAAACTTTGTATTTATAGATAGAGAAAATACATTGTATTATAAGTAGGACAAAACTACCAAACAAGATGTCCCAGAAATTGACAATGCAGCTAGCAGGTCGGAGACTTTCAACCCCTGATTTAATTTTACTATAATAACAGCCATTTTAGTGGTAAAATACAATATAATATATTTTCATGCGTTGTTAATAATTTATTTCTTGCGGAATTTTGAATCTCAAAGGAAGAGTTATTATTGCTTTAAGTGTATGTCCTTCTCATTGGAGACAATCCCTCTGGGCACCAAATGCTGAAAAAGAACATGCGGAGATCAGACTGTACAGGTGACAAGAACCAAGATCTATGGTTGGGTCCACAGGTGGTGCAAGGCCAAACCATACACAAAGCCTACGTGTTGTGTAGTGTGGAAAGGGATAGCCTAAAAGGCACAGTGAATGTCGCAAATTTGATGTTATTTGTAGAGTGATACGACTCGAGTGAATAAAACAAAAATACACAGATAATGAGATAAAATCTGAATATAATTTTGTGATTTTTGGTTCTTCTTTTCTTTCGTTTATTTAATTTAGGTGGGTTACTAAGGGATTCGTTTTTTAGATAAATAAATCTAACGGAATGAAGTCTGTCTACATGTAAATATAAATAACATAATCTCATTCTAAACGTAATAAATTATATATTCTTCACTAACAATATACACACAAAACAACGCATGGAGGCATCAATCCCTACTTTACTTGGGAAAATATGTCCGACTAGGGCACGGGACTTTGAAAACCAAATAACAGTTGTCAGGAGGGTTTCTAGTCCCAGAAAATTGTTCCAGGACATGCATTTCTAGGAACGGAGGACCCATGGTATACAGTACATTCCCAGGACGTAGTGTTCGCAGGACACTCATCTGTAGGAACATGGATACATGCATTCCCTTCACACCGGCTTTTAAGTTTGCAAATCAAACCAAATCATTTGATTGACCTGCAGCATGCTGTTGGGTTTAGATTGTATGTATTTAATTTTATGCCATATCAAAAATAAGGAGTACAACAACAGATATAAGGGACATCCCATTAAATATGCCAAACTGAAGGCATCGTATGTATAAAATGTAACTTACACATGAAGCTATGCTCTATCTCGTTACTCTGTGGGCTAAACACCTGTGCCTCTTCTCTGCTTCCAAACAGTATGTTCCCATATTTTGCTCGGACTCTGATTGTAGCGTTTATACTTGGAAGTTCCTCTAGATGGTCAAAATATAGATGACAGTTGTAATTATTTCTATGCAGCTTCCAATCACCCCTTTTTTCTAAATTATGATTTGTCAGGTAAACGACAGCATCCTCCTTTATGAGCGGGAAAATGCGCGACAGATATGAATGTTGCTCAGAAAACTCGCACTTCAAAATAGCTGCTCTTAGTTTGTCATTTTCAGTTACCGATTTTAATTTTGGGGCTTTTGCTGCTCCTATATAGCAAATCCATTTCATGAATTCAAGAAAGACACTTCTCTTGGCAAATGTCCAAACCAATACCTCAGCAATTACATAGACCATTCCACTTAAAATTATCCATGTTTTCGGTAATACGTCAGACAGAATATGTCTCAGGAATTCCCAGGACGCAAATGCATCAAAAGGGTTCACAGAAACAGTCGTGTCGTTTGTTAATTCCATTATTGCACCATGAATCCTGACATTGCCAGAAACGCCACACTCCTAGCTGTCTGACATCGAAAATACAAAATGGCTGCCGCGACGGCAGTTCCATGTAAACACCTATTGTGTATACACACCTTAAAACGAGGTCAATATAACTTCACACAAAACCTTTTTTCTTTCATTTTAGTGGTGTTTAATAGCAGAGGCACAAAAGCAAATACATCACCTGGTTGTAGGCCTACATTGTTTTGGTAGTGTAAACACAACCAAGGGAACACAGTAAACAGGGAGAAATGTGATCAATACGTGATCGTTCTTTACCTTCAATAACCCCCATATATAGAGAGCAAACAAGAATAAAAAAAAGAGAGAAAGGGAAAAGCTATATTATAAAAGTCATAAATAAATGAACATAAGGCTAACGACCAATTATCAAGACCGGTTACCATACAAGAAATAAATCGATGATTTTACTGAGACACAAAAACTGAATAAATTTAAGTAAGGCATTTTTAAGGGCACATGTACTGTTCAAGCATTTTCATAATTGTTAAGTAGGAACGTAGATACAGTAACAATTATCGTTTTGTCCAACAATTAAAAATATATGTGCATGGAGAAACAGTAATAACTGTACATTTTGATTTAAAAGAACTTATTTCCCTGCAATATTTCATCGATTTATTTGGTAAAGGGACAAGTAACTTCTCTCCCGCAATGGGCATCTGAAAAAGAAATGTAAAGGAGTGCTGGAGGCACCGGAGATGCTTTGGGGTGTATTGACCGTGTTTTAATTATGAATGCGTGTACAGTTTAGCATTATGCAAACAAAGAATTATGTTAAGCATTTTTTTATTTCTATTTAGATTTAGAGCTGCGGTTGAAAGCGATCCTGCATTAAGGTAATTAAAGAGAACTCTTAACAGCAGAAATTGAAGGTAAAGGTAAAGTAGGGAATGAGAGTTGATCCAAGAAAGACAAGAAATTATTTTACTGAATTATGAGGGCATTAGGGTTTGTATTTAAAAGTTAAGATTTGATTGATAGGACGTAAAACCTCGATCACACTTGCGGCATACGCCGATCAATAAAATACGTTTTTCCATGCGATTTTGAAGACACCGTAAGTGGCTACGGGCTAGGGTGAGGACGTTTACTTTACATTCGGACACAGTGCCATTTGGCTGACCTGGCCTTGGGAGAAATTTTGGGGCACTTTTGCTGTAACCCCCCACCCACCCACCTTTAAACTCTGTCATTTTTAATGCTAATCAAAATTAAGTTATGTGGTGACTATGATCAATGTCTCTGCTATTCAAATAAATTAGTTTGGAAATTTACTTACTTATCTTTTATATTTCTTTATAAACATCAACATTAATTGACCAATGTGATTACAGCTTTTTTCAGCCCAGCGATGACATCGGCTCTCATAATATTTGGGAGGCGTAAATTTTTATGTGAAATATCTTAGAAATAAGTAAAATAATTTCCAAATTAATTTATTTGAGTATCTGAGACATTGCTCAAAGTCACCACTCAAATTCATCGGGAAAAGATATCGAAAATCACAGAGCTATATGGTGGGGAGGAAGATGCTACCCCAGTGCCAAATTCGGTTTTTTGGTTGAAAAGTAATCGTACTGTCAGTCTCAGTGCAGTTGTCTCATTCCTTCCATGCGGCTTTCTTGAAGAGTGATATGTTGTCCTTGCAGATCCCTATTGTTTTAGCACCCATACGGTCAGAATGAGGAAACGCACAATTTCAAATTCGTGCAAGTAAATACCGCTAAATTTTAAACAGGTTTACTGTTGTTATGCATTAGATACCCACCAAACGTAAACAGGTAAGAGATCAACGACAGGTTCGATCATTATCACGATTACCGCAAGTCCGCAGAACAATGCCAGTGCGGGAACTGTGCAATGTCATCTATGGTATCACTACGGTCGACGCTTTTACAATAAAAATGTCAAAGATTTCACCTTAACAAAATCGCACAGGCTAAATACCTGATGTGAGGAGAATATATCGATCAAATTCTGAAACTTACGTGGTCAATATCCAACGATTTACCGACGTTGCCGTCTCACGCTGACACCTTTCACTAGGTTATGGCTTGGATGAGCTGGGCTCCGTATCTCGAAAGGTTCGCTATATGTTGCGCACATGCGTTAGTGTCTCCATTCCATAACCGATTCTATTTCGAGATACGGGGCCATGGAATCGAGACGCACTTGCACGTGCACAACATAGCGAACCTTTCGAGATACGGAGCCCTGGTCACCCCATTTAGTATTATCCCTCTAGGAACATCAGCGCCCGGAACCAGTTGTGCGAGTCCTCATTTCTATTGCCAACCGAATGACACTAAATGAGGTGATCAGTCGTTACCTAGTGAAAGGTCTCAGGGCGAGACCGTAATGTTGATTAGTATTTAAATTTTACCTCGCAACTTCCAGAATATGATTGATATATATTCCCGATTCTTATTCCACTAATGACTTACAAGTCCACTCACTATTTAATGTACCCGTGTGTCCATTCAGAGCCCCGAAACAACAGTATCTGACAGGAGTTACAAAAGTTACCACGCTCATTTTCGAGCCAAGATTGGGACCATGGGCTTACATTCCCGATGGAACAATCGTTCTAGTACTTAGATCGATCCAACTCCGCTGTGCTGGGACAATTGCTGAATGCAATCAGGTTAACATACCTCATGGTGTTGAGTAGAATACAGAAAAGCCGGTGTTCATACGAGTACGTTGGAAGCAAGAGGCGTGTTCATCTCATTGCATTCAGTGAGAGTTGGATCGACCTATTTAGAACCATAGTTTCAATGGGAATGAGCCCTATGGGTCCAACTGTCAAGTTAACGTTACGCAATCGACAGCCTGTCAGTTTTATATATAATCATCAAATTCGTTTTAAAAATATAAAACACAAGTGATATTATTTTACCAGAAATATTTATTTTCAATTATTTAGTTCAGTTGCTACATGTACAATCTACGTATTAGCAAAACAAAACAATGTCTGAAACACCTATCAGTGATAGCAATCTAATGTTGACGGTACTATACGGTAAATTTCTACAGACATTAACTCTTTTTCCGAAAAGAAAAAGATATTCAAAATGATATTCTATCGAAAATCAAGATGATTAAAGAACGAAATATTTACAATTTTACTGAATGGCCAAGAAAGTCCCGTTTTAAAATTTGCCTCAAAATAATCTACATGAAAATATTTTTTAAAAATACCATTGAAAAAACCCTTCCAACCTGGTCAAACAGAGGATGAATCAATTACAGAAAATGCAAACACGACAAGACTGTAAGGTAAGGGTACCAATTCCATACTGCAGTGGCGATGATAGCTTGAATCGTGATGAACTAAGATCTGAGAATCATTTTTGCTCCTTACTTTGGTACATTTACTACATAAATTGGTTTTTCAAATCAAGTTTTAAAAAATGAAGACATGAGAAAATCAGAAAAAAAACATTGGAAGTAACTTTCACTCTTAGACACGGTTTTCAAGATAACAAAACAGATTATTAATTCTTAGTATCAGCTGTAACTAGCTCTTTTTTTCAATTTGCCGACACTTTGGAGGTGGACTGAATGGTAGAGAAAGACACAATAGCAGATGTGATACATTAAATGACCTCAGCTTCAACACAAACTTAGTTCAAGTATATAACTGGCAAAAGCAAACAAATACCCCCCCCCCCAAAAAAAAAAATCAGTTTTTCATAGTACCCCCTTATAAAAGATTACAACAAAACGATATACCTTGTTTACCCTATATGCTGAAATATAAACGTGCAGATTTCAGTTTACCAAGTGGGTCAGAGAATGAACCAGAATTTCTTGCATTTCTACAATGTATTTAGGACTTAATGAGCATACATTACACAAGGTTAGAGGATGTTAGATGAACCTGTGTTCAAAATAAGCTAAGCTACAAAAAATTAGAGGTAGGGACTTAGAAAAGAAAAGGTGTCACCTATTTACAAAATGTACAAAAATGAGCAACTGAAGAATTATCAGCGGAAAAAGATAAAGAAAATAAATGAATCATGCTTTTTACTACATTTGATTAATTCTGATCCAGTATCTCTTGGATATCTACACTAGTGTTTCCACCTGGTGATAAGCCACAAACAGATGTGTCTCCACCTAGTGATTTGTACATTAACTAATTGTACCCATGGGGATAACTTATATATACACTCTTTAACTTCAGTTTAATGATTCCAAATCTATAATTTAACTCACCCATTTATTTAAACAAGCACAGGTATGATGTATAGACATCCCTTAATAATGATATCAATAAACAGCTTTACAGTCAACACACTGCACCTCTTGTGCTCAACAGAAGAACTGTGCAAAACTACAAACCATGCCATGAAATTAACATCTACTTTCAATATGCAATATTTCAAGCAAAATAATTCCATGTAAAAATATGCCATTTAATTTGCAAATGTTATCTTTAAACTAACAAACCCATGTCCTAAATGACCTATATCTCAAGTATAAATACTCTTTAAAATGGTTGGCCTGAATAGAAGACCCATTATTAACAACTGTGCCTCGTATTGAATAATAAATATCTCATATACACATATATAACTTTGTTATTAGCTTAATGTATATGCATCACTCCAGTGTATACATTTCTGGACTGCACCATGTTATTATGTTTTAAATATAAAATTAACCCTTATCATTTACACTGGTCATTAACAAGCATACATATTGGTAGAAAATGTTGAGATCTTAACATTTGTGTATGGAACACTTCCATAATTAATATATATAATTTCTGGTTGGCAGTGTTAGAGCTTGTACTTATTGCTCATGTATACATATTCATATCATATATTATATATGTGTGTATATTTCCTTGAGGTACTCAGAGCTGTATATTAGCATCGTTGTTGTTGCTTTAGGTTGGCTGCAATAGTAATGGCATTGCATTATGGCTCCAATCTTGGTTCTACACCTTTACCCAGGAGCATCATGTTTAAGAATATCATAACCATCAATACTTTAAGCATAGTGATTAGGAGATATATAAAGTAAACATTTTTAAAGAATAAATACTATGTGTATTCATCAGTACATAATTTTAGCATAAAGAGGGTGAGGTCCATATTCTTCCTCTGGTAATCAGTGCCACAGGATGAAAGCAATATCTTTCATTGGATAGGCATATCTTGCTTTGTGCTGCCATCTATCTATCCATTCAGCCAAAATGGGAGCACTAGCAGAAGACACCTAAGTGTTATCCACAATAATTGTAGCCAGCAAAATGACCTTTTCTGAATTATAACAAAGCAGCTCGCAAAGAATAAGTTTTTTTATAACAACACTGCCTTCTACACTGCTACTAGATACCCCACCTAAACGGAAGTTTACTTAATGCTGTCATAGTCCTCTTTGTCTAGGGACAGCCACATCACATTTTGCTCTTTGCCCCAGAGTTCCTTGAGATCTTTGGTGTAAGCTGATATTGTAGTCACATGATCAAACTCTCAGCCAATCACAATGAAGAAATGTCACATGATCAGCCAGTCATCATGAGGAGGAGGCAGTTATAGCACTCTTTTGCTGCAATAAAAAAATTAAGTTAAAATGTTGGTGTGAGCATTAAAGATTTGATGCAATAATAATAACAACAAAAATAATAATATCTTGTAGTGCTGTAGCATTTGCTGTAGTTAAAATTGGCTAAAATCCCCCACAAGAAGTATTTCTCTGAAAAGGAGACAGATTTTGAGACAAAATTGCTTCTTCTTTTATAGTAATTATCTAGTTTAAGGAGAACACTTTTCCTCCTTTACTAAGAAGAGAGAGTTACTAATCCACCAGGCATCTAATTTTTTTCGGTTGGAAGATGGTCAAAAGTGGAGGCTAGGTCAACAAAGATCATTTGGAAAATTGTCCGAAAATATATTTGTATCTGCCCCTGTGTTTTGCTCACCTGATGCAACTGAAAGTTATCATAGACCTCCATCAGGTCGTCCATGGTATACTGATTGAGGACAATGAAGCCTTCCAGAGTAGAGCTGGTCTTCCTGGCACAGTCCAGGCAGTGTACGTGGAACTTCTTCTCTTGCTCAATCACAAACAGGATGTTGAAGACCTCAATCTGTTGAAGTTAAAGTGGAATTGAAATCGTTGTCAAGAACAGGGCATTCTTAATCCAGAAAGAATATCAAATTATTATAATTTAAGCAGTGTAGATGTAGCTCATCTTGCTCAATGAAAAATTGTATTTCAAAAATATCAATCTGAACAATTGAAAGAAACCAGTCTGTGTTGTGAATTAAAGTTTTAATTTAAATTTAACTTTAGAATTATAATTACAATTCAAGCAAATAAAGAAAAATAATAAAAGGAAAAGAAACATTCATCTGCCTCCAACTGCAAACAGAATACTGAATAACTTAATTCATAAATTTGAAGTAAAACAGAAACTAAGATTAAGAAATCGTATCTGAGAGGTACAAAATATATTCTGATACATCTCATTGAAATACAATCCCAAAACGACACTGGCACAAGTGTCCCCTCACCTCACATATATTACAGTAATAAGCAGCCTCCCCCTTGGACCTCCCGTGCCACTTAGCTTCCAGACCCAGGGTCTTTATATACTCCAGTGTCATCTGGCACTGCTTCAAGGTACGCAGGAGACAGTATCTGAAAAATATCAATTTGTTTGATGCAAATGCTAGCTTTTTCTTCACATGTTCATCCATCCTGTTTTAAAATTAGTTCTGGTGTTAACCTTCACAATGCCTGGATGAATACTGTTCTGTAAGTGTTCTTTAAAAGAAGACTTTGTTATAACTGGAAGTAATCTGGGTTAAAAGGTACCCGAATAAGAAATGCCATACTTAGAAACATTTAATCGAAAAGTAAAGGAGCAGAATTTTGATGGGTTACTTGACAATGCTCTAACTGGACAGTAACAGTTATTTTTGCATAAATTTAATTTGGATTGAAGTTATTTCTTGCTAAATTAAAAAAAAAATATATATTCACTTAAATTTCTAGAGATATGTTTTTAGTAATCCCTTGGAAAAAGTTTTGTTAACAGTGAAAGAGAAACTTCCTTCCACTTACTTGATTTGCTCAAACAGCTTTGGCTCGGATATTTTCACGTTTCTTGCCAGATTCCAAGACAGGTGAATAATTGGGACTATGGACTTGACGCTCTGCAGCTTGTTCCACTCGTATCTCTCCACTGCCAGCTGGTACTGGCGGACAGTGAGTGGACCTACATTCCAGGCTATGTTATTACACCAGCCCTAGAAATACATCATGTCATTATCAATCCAAACATAAAATACATCATTTACGAGATATGTACCATTAACGGCAGGGTGTATTTGTGTGTGCTACTAGAGAGTGCGCATGCAAGAAAGAGAAAGAGAGAGGATGGTGAGGGAGTTTGTCCGATGGGGGGACCTTTGTGTACACAAATGTATAATTCTTGTTTATTTGTGCCTATGTGTGTGTGTGTGTGTGTGTGTGTGTGCGTGTGTGTGTGTGTGCATGTGTGAGTGTTTCTGCATGTAAATGTACATCTCCACACAAGCATGTATATACTTACAATAGCCTGTACCCAGTGCACAGTTCCTGAGTTCACCCAGACCAGGTCTCCTGGCTTCTGGATAAATCTGTACACAGGGATGTTCTCTTCATAGAGATCCTCCAGCAGTGGCCACCATGACCCTATCAGGTAGTTGATGCCTTGTCTGAAAACACAGAGAGAAACTATAGGGCCTGAGAATAAACTGCTCTTTTGATATGAATTCTAGGAAATCTGGATATGAATAATTCTAAGAAGTCTGGTTATGAATTCTAGATAATCTGGATATGAATTCTAGGAAATATGGATGTGGATTCTAAGAAGTCTGGATATGAACTCTAGATAATCTGGATATGGATTCTAGATAGTATGGATATGAATTCTTAGAAGTCTGGATATGAAAAGATGGCTGAGTTTGAAAGTCCAAACGCTAAAAAACTTGTTATAATATTGTAAATCTGGTTTTGGTAAATTAATGCATTATTTCAAATACTCAAAAAACCTCAAAACCAAGAAAATTTCAATCTCAAACTTAAATACTTCAAGGTCATAAATGCCATTTAAGCCCCAATCCATGCCATTTAAGACCCACCTTTCACACATGTTATTAATGACTCCCCAGTACTCCTCAGGGACCCCAAACCACTCGCAGTCACCAGGGCCGATATTAATATTCACTGAGGCAAAGTTATTGTTCTCCTGGTGCCCCGGGGTTCTACTCCCTGGGACCTTCATGTACAGCTGCACTGTGTTCATCCCCAGGATGGTGTGACCCACGTGACTCAGGGCATTGGAGGCAGAAACAACCTGGAAGAGGGAAATAATATATTTCAGGGTTTATACAGCGAGAGAGAAAGATGTATACAGTGATCTAAGTTCCAAGTTTTTTACTGCTGGTAAATCAGTGAGTTCTGAAAGATATCAGGGAGAAACAACATTAAAAAGACACAAGTGAGAAAAAGATAATATATTCTCAACAGTGTAAAAGCAAAATTGAACTGATACAGTATCAGAGTCAAAGAGCAACATGTACAAGAAGTTTTCCTGAAATTGTCCCACATAACTTATGTGACATATACAACTCAAAACAATCATAAATGGTGGTGGTGTGGCAGATGTCAAGTTTATTTCAAATGATAATTTGGGCAATTTACATACTATAAATTTCTCATTTAAGGAGGAAGAGGCTAACTTGTCACACAAAAACTGTTGTCAGCCACACAGTCTCAATTGTAACTAAGACTTGTTCTGACCAATTACATATTATTAAATTCTTTGACCAATTTACTGAAGTCATACTCTGGTCCTCACCCGTGTGAATGCTGGTAGTTTTGTAAGCTCTTGTAGCTGAGGTCTCCACTTCTTCTCATCAGAAAGATCAACATTGGTGCCAAACTTCAGCATCTTGAACTTTTTCTTGTTGCTGTTTATAGAAAACACAAACACATAAAAGGATAATATAATACAAGTCGAAGAACAGACAAAAAGATGATACTGATTGTCAGAAAATGAATGTAAGAGATTTGTATTCTGTAAAGGGTAATATTATAGGTATTAAAATATACTAGGCCTGAAAAGAAATATAAATCCCTGCGTTTGAGATATTGCGCTTACACGTAACTCTTCCCATATGCATATGGAATGAGAGAAATTCCTTTTCTTCCCAACACCTTCAGTTTAAAGTAATCTAGATTATTTTATTTTTAACCACTCCCCTGTAAGGTACAGTGCACAGATCATAACATGTAGTGGCCTTCGACCTTACAGCATTGCATTAGGTGAGACAACTGACACAATCCTTACCCTTTGCCTCCACCTGAAGAGCTTGAGTCACTGTCACTGTCTCCTTTGAAAATACCCATAGCTTTGTCTTGTTCCTCCTAAAACACATAAAAGGAATGATTCCCAATTTTCTCAGTTTGAATATCTCTATGTAAGTAATGCCACTGTCTAATCATTCACATATATATATCTTTTTATAAAATCATAAAATCAATTCATAAACATTCTAAAAGTACATTTTAACCCTTTTATTCAATCCACCCAATACACACAAAACTGCAGATAAGTATGATTCTTTTTAATAAATAAAATCTGGCCCTGATCACAAACTGGTTTGAAGTTTCGACCTGCTTTTGGAAAGAAAACAAACATACCTTCAATGACTCCTGAAATGAGGCAGCCTGGTACTGTGCATACTTTGCCACTGAGGTGTGAGATCTGGTGCTGTCACACTTCCACACGTTATTGCCATAGATGTCCTGGTTTTCATCTGGGAGTTGCTTCCTCTGAATAATAAATAAATATATAAATAAATAAATGCATGAATAAATAAATAAACAATTTATTAAATAACTATATTCTTCAATTATTACTTTAAATACTACCAATAAAAAAATTAAATATTGAACTTATTCAAAATCATGATGCTACATAGGACTGAAGCAAAATGATGCATATTTCGTGTGCAAAATTAAGATGAGGATGTCTAATTCATAATGTTCTCATATTTCAATCTTACTATTTTACTTAATTTTAGAGGCCCTTTTTTCAAACTCATGCCTTTACCTGAGATCGAACCTCCATCACATGGTCAGGGTTTGCCTCCACCAGGGACTTGGTCGAAAACAAACTGAGATCCAACTTAAGTGCCGCAGCCAGGCCACGAATAACAGCAACAGGCTGCGACAAACAGTACTGCTGCAGCTCAACCGAAAACGCATCCCGCTTGCTCTCCAGATAGAGGCTGGGTGTTGGAGGGTTCAGCTTGTCTTTCGGTAGGGGCGGATATGGCGGTGCGGGAGGGGCAGGCGGGGGGCACCGCTCGGACATAATGCTGGTGTTGGAGAGGCCGTTGCTGCCCAGACCTTTACAGGCTGCCAGGAGCTGAGATGAGCTCATGTTGATGGAGAGACTGGAGGGGGAGAGGAGGGGGCCTGGAGAGCGCCCCGTGGTCCCTGTGTTGATACGAAGTTCACTGAGGACTGAAATATGAAATAATAAACAGAATTAATATTAAATGCACATTTATATATTTTCTCATTGTACTATAATCATAAATGTGGACCCTGATTTATTTGTCTATGTAGCACATTTTAATGGAGTAAGCCCCAAATTAAACTACGCTATTTTTATCAAAATATTGATCTCTTTGTGTATAATATTACATTTCGTCCTGTGCGCTTTTATGCTTATTTGTTTCATTAAAAATAATCACTAAAATAAAAATCAATTCAGTTCACATTTCTTTTTTTGGAAAAATGGACCATAAAAAATATGGCATACTTGGCAAGTGGGTCGCTTTGGTATTTAGTCAAGTATTCAATCTAAGTGTAACGTCTCAGGAAAACCACCTACCAGATGAATCCTTTCCTTCTGTATCTTTCTTATCCCCTTCTTCAGAGATCTTGTTATTGTCGCCTTCCAAGTTGGTATCCGTCACATGCTGTGCTGTCCGTGATGATTCAGAAAATGGTTCCATTTTCGCTCCACCCGACACACTCTTAAATAAGTCAGCACTTAGTGAGCTTAAATCCGCGTCTATCTGACTGTCTGTCCGCGCCTGTGAATGGTTTCCTTCCATGATACCACCGGCGCCCTCTTTATCATGACTTTGAGCAAACTGAGCAAGGAGATCTTCTGCAAGGGAGGTAGCAATGTCTTTTTGCGATAAAAGAGCGGTCAACTCCTGATCTATGTTTTGTAAATCTTTTGGCAAATCACTGTCTGACAAATCGCCCAGAGTAAGGGAACTATGAGGGAAGGTTCCACCCTGAGAACTCCCTCCCCCTGGAAAACCAGGCCCTGCCTGTGAACTGGATGGCAATGAAGAGGGAGGCTGCACGTTTGATGGCCCGGCAGCAGTAAGGTGGCCCTGAGGTAATGGAATGTTTGGTCGCGGCTGTTGTGATGGCGGCTGTGAAGAGTGAGGTAGAGAGTTACGGTGCTGGGCATAAGGCATGTGTCCAGGTCCTCCAGGGAAGTCCCCACCGCCTGGAAGCGGTGGTCGGAAATTCTGGGAATTAGGAGGAAATCCAGGATGACCAGCTTGCATTGGTCTTGTAGGCACATTACCTGGAATTATAAATTCAAATGTCATGATTTTTAATTTGAAACATTTCATGTCCTTATTTGCAAGAAAAATTATTTCGTATCTGTCAGTTTTCACTTACAAAAAAATTCTTAAAAATTAGAAATAAAATCTGTGAGCAAAAACAGAGCATAAGAGCTCTCAACTGTTAAGTCAAGCAAACTTGTGCTTTATAGTCTTGCTGTCTTGGGGTGTAATTAACTAAGAGAACCGCCCCCAACCTTAATCAGAAAATCCCTGAAGAAAAATCCAATAAAGGGGTATATCAAAGTTAAATTATAATCAGCTAAAAGTGGACAATCTCCTGAATACCACATCCTTTGGGGTGGAGCAGGTGAAGGAGGAGGAGGAGCCAAACCATATGACTGACAGGTATACCTGGGTAAGGAGGAGGCGGAGTATTATGCATGTTCCCTGGCATGTGGCCTGCGTGTCCTGGACTGTGTGCTGGGCTGGCGTGCCCTGGACTGGGCATATTCATGTGTTGTTGCTGGCCCTGGAAGAAAGAATATCTTGATAAGTGTGAGTCTACCTGTGTGGTGTGTGTAAAGTCGTCAAACCTTAAACTTAAATTTCTTTTCAACAAGGTTCAACATATTTTATGCTGAGTCAGAGTCACTTCAATGAACAGTGAAATCACATAAAACTATTCAGATCTCAAACACAAGACATGAAATCAATGTCTCTGACAAACGTGAAATCACTCAGTTATTGCACACAAATGAAGTCCCTTACCTGCGCATTCATCATTTGTTGCTGATGTTGCTGCTGCATGTAATACTGCTGTTGTAACTGATGTAACAACTGCTGATGCTGTGGTGCTAAGTTACCCTGGAAATAACAACGTCACAGAATGTCAAGACTTTGTATCAAGAAATGCATATATACAATGTTACATTGATGTAGCAACTGCTGATGCTATGGTGCTAAGTTACCCTGGTAATACCAATGTTACACAAATGTCAAGACTTTGTATCATGTAATGCATATACAATGCTACACTGATGTAGTAACTGACAAAAATACTTCTGTTGCCACATTAAGTTATGCACGAGTGTCCATATATAACATATTTATCATTTCTCTCATATAATATATACAACCATAAAATATATAAGTAAATGGCCTCACAGTCATTTATGCCGTGTTGCTTCGGTACACTAAAATAACCCATCTTGACCAATATAAGGAATTAATCATAAATTTGTAAGGTAGCAGCAATGTTTAAAGTTGTCTATTCTCTCTCAATCAATTGATCCAACAACCACAGACAAAAGATGTGATGTATATGTGGGCATAAATCAAAAGCCATCATAATTACCTGACTTTGCTGCATCAGCAACATGTTCATTTGTTGCATCTGTGGTTGACTGAGGTAAAATGGGGGCACCTGACCCTGGGGTGGACCCTGGGGTGGTCCCTGGGGCTCTGGGGTCTGGCTGCTGGACTGAAATACAATAGGTTACATATAAATAGGTGACTACATCCTCATCTTCATGAAAAACTATTACATAAATTATACAGACAGTTAGAAAAATTTAAGGAATCATTGGTATCTCCACTGACAGAAATATTATTATAGTTCTATAAATGTGTTCCTCTACTGGATTTTATATTACAGCTGAATTTATATGTACAGACTTGGAAGACCTTATACAAAGATTATCTGAGTAACTACTGTAACATTTAAAAAGGTATTATTCTATATGTTCAGTTTTGATAGCAAAAGTCAACAAACATCTTGCTTTAAGATTTTGATTTGGACCCTGCACTTTCTATATATCCACTGGACAGCTTACCTTCTTCTTCCCTTGACTCTTCCTTCTTTTAGGCGCATTTCCCGGCTGCTCCTGACTCTCCATCTGCTGCAGGGCTGCCGCGGCCGCTGCATTCTGGCTCATCTGCTGCATGGCCGCCAGGCTACTACTCTGCATGTGACCTCCACCGCCAGATGGCATCCCGCTCGGTCCCATGTGTCGCAGCGGTCCCTGGGGTCCCATGTGGGGAGGCATCTGTCCCGGTCCGTGTCCCACCCCCATCCCCCCAGGCTGCATCTGAGGCATGTGTCCCGCCATGGGCTGGGGGACGGCCCCGTGGGGGTGATGGGGCCCCAGGGCCTGAGGAGGGGTGGCCGCCCCTGGGCTCATCCTCTGTTGTTGTTGTTGTTGTGAGGGGTGTGGTCCCATCTGTTGTGGCCCTCCCCTCACCCCATTCATGTTGTTGTTGAAGTGCGGGGTGTTGGCCCCTGGGGACAAGCTGCTGGGGGTGTGGGGGCTGGGGGTATTGGAGTGCATGTACTGGGGGTGCATCCCCAGCCTCTGCTGTTGAGCTATCTTTGCCTGGAAATAAACAGGATTTGAGATTAAACTGATGCTTTGACCTGGGAATGTACAAGTCTGAGTATTATCTTGACCAACCAAGTAATAAAAGAGACCTAACAGGCATACTGATATGAGAATACAGATCATACAGAGACTCATGCAAATGACATAACTGTGAAAACAGACAAAAATATAACATAGTATTTATCAAAACACTGAACATGGATCTAACACTTGAAGAAGTGAAAATTTCCTGGGAGAGGCAGATGACAAAATATCATATACATTTTAATGTGTATTAAAATATATCAGAGAATGAAATGTGGAGGTGGCATGTAGAGATATGGAGGGCAGATTAAGTATTTACCTGTGTGTTCATGGCTCCTTGTCTTGATGTCAGCTCTGCTGGGATGGGCAGACTCCAGGCTTCTTCTATACTTGGCAATGGCTTGTTCCTGGGAGAAAAAGACGTTCATTCACCTCATGTTCAAAACAACAATGTTGTCAAGAACAATTTTTTATATCTTAGACTAACATGACAATTTGTGTAGCATTCTATCTTAGCCTTTTCCTTAACGAAACTAATAATGATAATTACTAATGGTGATTACTATTCGATCTCTGGAAAATAATCCTTCGATAAACTGAGTTTTTTATGTAACACGGATAATAACCTATAGTTTCTAAATGTCTGCTAAACAGAACATAGCTTGTGTAAAAGACCTCAAAAAGTATTCAAAGTGGAAAATGTTGATATTCTATTAATCTGTACTGGTAGTAAGAGTGTAATTATAATTTCCCTTACTTTGGCTGCAAGTTCTCCATTGGGATATTGCTCAGCTGTTGCTGGAGGAACTTGATGCGATTTTGTAGATTAGAATTCATGTAGGCTGGAAATAACAGAACACAAAAATATCGGACCCATCTCATCAATTCAATTCTTAGCTGACTTTTACGACAGGTGTTATAGACTGTGTAAGCGGATATTATTCGGATGAGTTTACATAGTTCTAAATGGAATATCATAAAATTTCATTTTCAAATATTTTAAACTGACTTCCTTTAATCCTTTACTTAATTTCAATCTGTTTTTTACTTTATCATTTGAATAAAATGCATATCTATCACTGGCCCACCTTCCAATTATTTCCCCCCAATTCACATTTCATAGTGGAAGAAAAAAACAAGACAAACTCATCAACTATTGCAAATATTTGCGAAGTTGCTTATATGCATCAAACAGAACATGAACATATTCAAATTCCCAAAAATTTCACTGCATCCTAAAATTAAAAAAAAAAAAATCTCAGAAATACCTTTATTATTTTTAGCAGCATTGATATAGCACGTCAACGCATCTTTCAACTGGTTCACGCTTTCATACAGCACTCCCAGGTCCGTCCACGCGGCAACATGTGACTTGTCTAACTGTATGGCGCAGATATAGGCCTGCAAGGCATCCATTGGCTGATTCTGCTGCTGGTAGAGTACTCTGCACGTGAAAATAAAACCTTCTAATTAGTAATTTTTATGGGTGCTGGGATCAACGACATCTACTAGATGGCAATAAACCTATTTTACAAATACAGGGACTTCTGTCAAGTTTCAAATACACAACTCATTTCAGTATTTAAATTTTACATGATTTATAATCTCTTTTAGTCACAAAAATAGCATATTTGAAGCCAACTTAGTTTTCAATATTTTTTAACTGTCCCCCTCTCCCTCCTTCTAGTCATTAGACAAAATATTGTGTTGCAAAATGCAAATTTTGATCAATACGTAATGGGGCTACTCGAAGCAAATGTTGAACTTAAATCAAAATTCATTATTCAGAAATTAAATCAACTTTTAAGATATTTCAAACAAAACACCACTTGCAGACATCAATTTACCAAAAAAAAAAAAAAAAAACTTGCTTCCATTCCACTCACCCAATAGAGCACCACGTATCAGCATTGGCCTCCGATTTATCTATGGACTGCCTGTATGATACAAAAGCATCGTGAACTTTTCCCACGTTGGAAAAACAGCGTCCCAAGAAGTACCAGCTCTGTCCACTGGACGGGTCAGCCTCAATGGACTTCTGCAGACACTGGACAGCGATGACCTCGCGAGCTTGCTTCTCTCCTAACTGGTCTATGCAGTGGTGCATCCAGCCTGGAGGTTACAGGTCAAAGGTCATCATTATAAGGTCAAAAGTCATCATTAAAAGGTCAAAGGTTAGATGTCACAATGCATCATGTGTTTTGGACATCTCTTCACAAAAGTTTCTACAAGATATTTTACGTTATCTTTTTGCCAGAATCATTCTTTGTCCAGATGATCAGCCTTTCTGTCTGCCTTGGCTCGATTGTGTGTATTTTCATTTCTCCTTTCAGTCATTCTATCATTTACTTTACTGTATGCACTCATTCATTAAAAGGTTTATCTATTCTTTGCATTTGTTTTTCTGATGTTTTTCCATAAGTATTTTTACTCAATAGTACAAACCCCATTCTCTTCATGTTGGTCAATTCAATGCCATTAACTCTTAAAATTACTTACCAAGCTGCCTGTAGATATTGGCCTTGACAGTGTTTGGCAATCCCTCAGCTTGTAGCAGTTGTTCATAGGCCTCCTTAGCTTGCTTGGGCTTGTTCTGAAATAATAATTAACATGGTGATCAATTTCATCATAAATCTAAGTGAAGAGTGTTTTACCTTAGTTTAAATATTACTCATTTCTTTTAAGTGTATGTGTATTCTTTGTGCATGTGCTAGTGTGTAGGCAAGTGCATTTGTAAGTGTGTGTGTGCGTGCCCATGCGCGTGTCTGTGTGTGTGCATGTGTGTGTGTGTGTGTGAGAGAGAGAGAGTAAATAACATAATTATAATGTAAACAATTTGTAATACTTAGGGCATTTGGTTACAAAATATAGAGACAGGAGAATATTCAGGAACAATATCAACACTCACACACACACACAAAAGATAATTTAAAAGTTGACTACGATTTCCATAAGAGTGCTGTTACACTGCTCCTGATAGGGTAAGATGTGCCCATGTGTCCATGTAACCTTGGTAATTAAGTTCTTAGTCTGTATTCTTACCTGGATCTCAAGCAGGTGGGCTATGTGGAAACGAACTGAAAATCAAACAAAAGAATCACAGTTAAATATCAGTTGGAGCCATATGCTTGGCAAATGCTAAGTTCCAATTAATGAGGATTCTCTCTTTGAAAGAAAAAATAGAAAAGAAAAGAAAAACTCTAGCTCTAGGCAACTTTCAACAATACATGTCATAAGACAAAATATGAAATGCAAAGTGATCAAGAGGTCTCCATAAAGACAACACATCTTTTGGTTGTGCCTATCATAATAACTACCACATTACAACAGGTTGCAAATAAAAATGAACACTTAGACAATAGGACCTTGCTCAAAATTCTGACAACACTCCTCGTATGGTATTTGTCCCATTATATATATATATATTCTGTCCCTTTAAGGAGATATTAGGCCCCTTTACACCTGTTGCAAGGCAAGTACGCTCCTGGTGCACATACACTTAAAAAAAACAAACAAACCTGGAACTTCTGTGTTTGCCTCAAATGACTAAAAGTTTAAACATGCCTCTCTATTCATAATTCAATATCCATAATCTCGTTTCACCTGATAGCAGCCTTTGTATGTTATCTCTGACCCAGTTATTACCACACACATACAATACCAAGTCAAATGCTCCTCATAATTCTCCTCGTTCTCTTCTACGAGAGGACTTGGCCTGAGTAATGGAAGCTGTGCTAACCTTAGCTTACAAAAATGTCTTTACAAGTTATGTTTGTTAAATTTCTATAACGAATCTACAGTGTCCTAACCAACTGAAAAGCAATGCAACAATAATAAAGTTGGCCTAACAATGACTTTTGTTGGAGCAAGCACTTTTCCACTTTACACATTAATTCTTGTGAAATAGAACTCGCAAGTACCTAAACATAATGCTACTTTAACATTTTTTTGCCTATATTTTTGCTTATTTTACATTCTGAAAGGATGTTTACGATAAATACTGGTGTCTCCTTAAACACTGAAAAAAGTTAATTTTATTTCAATAATAATAATAATAATAATAATAATAATAATAATAATAATAATAATAGCTATAATTTCCATAACTGGCATTTTGACCACTGAACATATTTAATATTTATGTACAAATAGACAATGATGAGAAATTACTGCATCAGCCAATCTCTTCACAGGGGTTCCAATCCTATCATAATCAGCTCCCAAGAATAACAGCAATAAGATCCACTTGAACACCCAGTACAACAGGCACAAGGTATAACACAAATATTATTCCTTTTTTAAAACAAAAATACAATAGCGCCTGTTCTTCCTGCCTACCACCTACCTTCAACACGTGTCGCTCTTTATGCTATGATATTTCACAGCAGAAAACACACTAGAATTTTTTCATTCACGTGACCTGATAGGTATATTGCACTTGGAAGTTGTGCACTATATCAGCGTAAATGCTGTCATTTCCCAGTACAAATCAGCCTTTTGTGGGCAACCTCAACCACAGAGCACTGTTAGCGTAGGTCATAAGAGCCCCCGTGTAGCTAGGAACGAACGTGAGATGCAAATGAGGACAGAGACGTTATCTGGTGGATGTGTAGAACAAAGACTTACGGTAAAAACATGAAAATTTTGTCACTTAAAAATTATTTTTAGGTGACAATCTTTTTAAAATTATTAAGTTTGACAAAATTTTCAAAGCAAAAAATAAAATTGCGTCGGCAAAGAATTTTCTTCTAACAAAATGTTCAAGTCCAACTGATTTTTTCATTTGCTAAATCTAAGGAAGGAAATGAAAACTTTCATAGAAGGAGGGGGAGGTAGATGTTTAAAACAGACCTATCATCTGCTAAGTCTAAGAAGGAGTTGAGTTTTTTTCTAAAAGAGAAGGAAGTGAAAATTTTCTCAGGACGAGGAGGACAGGGATGGGGGGGATCAGTTGTGTTCTTTGAGGAAGAAGAGAAGAAAACTGGTAACCGTTTGTACTCTGAAAAGAAAAATAATATAAAAAAAACCTTTCTCTTTCCCTAATTAACTGGGAGGAAGGGAGAGGGGGAATAAAAGTATGCAATTTCAAACTTCATCTTTGTGAGCAAAAAATATAATTTTAGCCTATCTATGCTGTCAGTTAAACGATGTCTTAAAAATTTATTATGGATTTATTTACAACAAAAATTTTATGTTAAAACCAACTTTCAACCCATGTTGAAGCAGGGCTCTGAAAGGGCCACTTTTGAAATAGAAATATGACCAATGCCACACCCTCTGACCTGATGAGAGAGAGAGAGAGAGAGAGAGAGAGAATCTAAATCAATAATAGATGATTCAGAATTAAGCCATCTGGTCTCTCCATACTCAGTGGCAGAGCAGTTGTGTCTGAACCTGAAAATGTGCTCATCTGCACGTACACACTTCTTAACTATCCATGGTAAGGGCAGCTGATATCTATATTATATACATAAACAACCTAGATATATGGATTTTTCATATTGTGTTCCTTATCAAAAGTAGTCTGAAAAAGCATCTATTGCTTGATGAACCTTTGTAACATCTATTCCCAGGGCTGTGATATATATATATCTCCTATCTATTAATTTATTATATATCCGTATGTTCTCACTAATAGCTGACCAAGTGTGTAACTATTAAGTATCCATGATTTGGACCAAACTCTTCTGTGATAGCTAAATCAATTGCTGAGACAATTGGCTGACATCATTACAAATCAATTGCAAACTCACTTAGTTAAAACATTGCATTTCATCCGTGTTTGCAGCTTAATTACTTTATTTGATTTATAATTCTTCATCTTATAATTATTTAATGTGTAAAACCAATCGAGTACGTATACATCTCAGATATATGTATATGGAGCTACAAAACTCTGCAATATCCAAATTAAAAATACAACTAATGGAAAGCAAAATCACCATAGACTATATACAGTAATTAATTGTATTACTTTTAATGAGGATTTTAGTATGATATATGTACATTCAATGTTGGATGTAAATTACTGGGATGCAGGCATAAGTGCTTGCACAATGCAATCTATGCTCTGCCCTGAGACCATATACAGATAATATGTGTGCGTGCGTGCGTGTGTGTGTAGCACTTGCACAGAAGGTAGCCTGCTTTTCAATTTTGTTGCTAACACTCATTAAGAATGTTCTAATTTTTAGAACTAAAGACTTGAAGAAATGGAGTAATTTTTTCCAACTGGGAATATAGAGTCAGTTCCGTACGTTACATTAGCATTGTTGAGATGAAAATAGACAACTTTCTAACGTTTGACATATCTCGACCTTAAACCTGAAAGCACTGGATGACCCCTATAAGCAAAGACCATGTTGTTTACTTGTTGTTTTGTTTGGCACATATAATGATGAACCTGTGGGCCTTTAACCAGCAGCCTGGCATTATCTAAGGGCAAGTAAGTTCAAGTGAAGCAAATAACGTCACTCTTTTGTAAATGACATCTATTTGTCTTACGGCCATATTCATGCCAAATTTGACTTGAATTCTCTTCAACTCAGTTGATACAAGGTGAAAATCAGGTCGCCACCCATTTTTACACTTGGAGACGGATTCACAGCCCTTCTGTACCACTTAAATGAAGTCATAATATATCTATTTATATAATTTTTTTGCTAAATCTCCATCTGTAGTTAGCCAAGCATTGAGAAATGTTTCAAAAATCACAGCACCAACAATCCACTGCAGCTAATGAAGACATTGTGAAGCCGCCCACGGATTTCTTTGAACAACTATATATGGCAAAAACCAAAACGAAAATAGACTAACACCCACTGACTAAAGAGGATATTCTATATTTTCAAAGACTAACGCCCACTGAATATAGAGGATATTCTATATTTTCTGCCTCCATTGTATAAGCTGAAATAATCTAATCATAATTACATACAGGATTTAATAAAACAATTCTGCCTCTATTGTATAAGCTGAAATAATTTAATTATAATTACATAAAGGATTTAATCAAACAAGGAAAACAATTTTGGCCATTTAACCCTAAAAAAACACATCAGTAATACACGATGCTAGGACAATTCACATCAAAGTCAAACCTGTGGTTTTGGCAATATATTGACCATTCAATCCCAGAACCTGTCCAACTTACATCTTATGTGAATGTTCCTAGTGGCACGTGAACTTTTGATTTAGCATATTGATTTTTTCAGCACAGCGAATTCTGAGTACAGCTAAGAGCACATGAGGACACACAGTTTCTTTACATATTTAACTTGTAAGGTTACCTAAGGTGGCTGTTCAAATTTAAGCCTTGTTTCTGAAAATAAGTGTGGATAGTGATACTAATACATTTAGCAATCCTTCACTGGAGTTATCCTAATACATGAAGATCCCTGTGTGTAAGTGTGTGCGCGCGCACACCTGCGTGGATGCTTGCGCGTACTCTTATATAAGCAGATACACAACCAAACATATATGTATATGCAAATGTACACAATACTTTGTCTGAGCATATTTGTATAAACACGCATGCACGCACGCACACACACTACGGTAATATACAAATGTACCTTCAATACATGCCTCTCTTGTATTTTTATGGTGTAAATCATCTCAAATACACTGATCTCACCAAAATCACCTCTGCTTCTGTGTGAATCAATGGAAAACCTTAATACATCCCCTTTTGGTTACTTCGTACACGTAATTCCAGGAATCACTTTGCTGTAATGCCATTACATTTGTCTTTCTGGCTTCTACCTCAGAGGAAGATACTAGTATTACAGTGGTTTACCCACACACACACACAAGGGGCAAATGACGCATTTTCAATAAAATTGTGCTGGTTTTACTTAGTCCTTGCTATCAGTCTATGTGACTGATTTCTAGTCATAGGAATCAAATCAAAACTCCACCTACTGCCGTTGTAATAAACAACATCATTGAAATTGTAACAAGACCTGCCCTTGCGATGACTTACAAGTACTACAATTTGAAAACTGCATGAATATAACTGTTTGACATCCAATCATAATGAAATCAGAAATACACCTAAGTTATTTCTAAACACAAAAGTATAAATCTGCATCCTATATGGAAGAGTATGATACTGTAATTTGAAAGATGCATATATTACTTTTGTCCATTACAGCGGGTTTTTATCCATAACATTACTTACCAGCTCTCATAAGCATAGGATTCAGATTCTTATACTCAGCTTCAGATTTGACGAATAAATTTCTACAGTAATGATTGCATTCTTGACTGTGGGACAATCTAAATCCTTTCCATCTACAAATCTACACACTGATATATCAAAGCAAACATTATCTCAAATAAAACAAGTCTACAAGGATGAGATTTATGTACCATCTTACCATAATCTTTCAACAAAAATCAGCTTTTCACACATCTGTCTGTTTTCAATGGTTCTCTGCTCAACAGTATGACAGTAAAAATGAATGTCAGCAACATGCAGTTAACCATGGGGATAATGAAAGATTCATTACACCTGGCCTGAGATGACATTTGGCTGTACATCATAATTTAATGTATGGTCGCACTGGCATTTGCAACTGTATAGTAGCAGGAAGTGACTGTACACATAAAACATGTACACAGTAGCATATGTATCTGTACACCTTTCTCCGTCCTTTTATTTCCCATGTATTAATACATACATGTGTATCCATTTGAATGTACCATACAGAAATGAGAGAGAGAGAGAGACGGAGAGGGAGAAGAGAGAATCTCTGTTAATTGTCCTATCTCCAAATATCACTAAGACTGGGTTCCCACAGATTTAGATCGATCCACCTGGATCGACCTAAATCCCTCGGGGGTTCACACTATATTGCTGTCAGCTGAGCATGCGTGAAAGTTAATTACCACCTTACAGCTTTTAGTAGGCGGGACAGACATTTAAGTCGGCTGTGCTGATAGCAATCTAGTGAGACTCCCCAGGGGGATAGATCGATCTAAAAATCTGTGGGAATGCAGTCTAAGTTCTGCAGTTCCTAAAACCCTAATCACATCAAATTAAATGTTGTAACTTACACCTACCCTGCTCTAAAATTGACATCTTCAGGAGGTGGATCTCTTCTCCTAGCGAAAGCATACCTGATCTGTAGTGTTCAGTCTTCGTCAAACAAAATCGCACACTTTGTCGTAAAATACCACTTGGAGACAGCAACAAATTTCCCCGTAAAGGAAATAGTAAATCTAGTAACTGAAATACATCCGTTTTAAGAATTTCTTATCACTCACAATAAATCAAGAAGCAGTGTGTCGCATTCTGATGTGAAGAAACAAAAATGTTCACTGTCCTTCACAACTTTTACCGTGATTGAACAATGATTGATTCAGCAGATGTATTCTACTATTATAACATAACACCGCGTGATCTTTGTCTTCCTTTTCAAGCATGGACTTCCTTATATTCTTCCTTTCCTCTGACCAAACTATTTTCCCCCTTTTTGGAGTATCAAATTCCTTTAAATTTTCCTTCTGCTCAGACCAATCTGTACCTTCTTTTCAAGCTTCCAGCTTTTCAACATTGGACTAAATCTCAGATTTTAGTACTTTTATTTATACCCAACAGTGTGCGTGTGCGTAAGTGAGTGGAAAACCACATATATCATTTTGAGTCATATTGAGGCAAGAGGCCTACAGCTTATACAACTCACTACTAAACCACCCACCAACATCATGAGACTGCTACCAGAGGCAGCTCTGACTCTTCTCTTACATGATCCTTCAATCCTATTTTCCACTTACATCTAGGGAATAAGCCTCGCAATAAGTAAATGGAGTGACTGAGTTCTCAGAAATATTCATGCTTTTAGTTTTTTTTTAATAATCACCTAAATGACCTTGCACCTTAATCTATATTTCAACTTCCCTAAAATTATGAGGTTGACTCTTTTGTCATTATTTTCATTTTCACTTTTAAGGCGCCATAAAAAACTCTTTGCAACATTAAAGTAAAATGTGCCATGTCAAAATGTAAGCAAAGAAAAAAAACAAAAAAACAAAACAGGAATGATTAATCCAAACCACCATCCCCTGAACTGCAGTGGGAACCAATCCACAGAAACAATAATGACAATTCAATTAGTAAATATTGTAAAATCATGCGATATTGTGTTTTAAACAATTTCCCACTATCCACCTCACCTTTTCCTACACCCACACTCTCACGGAAACCCAGGTAGACCTTAAATCTACCCAAGCAATGCCGCATTCAGAACAGTGGACTAACTAGCCCACGGGTCAAATTAGCACCCCACTAATACACTTGCCGTCTAATCAACTAATATATACTGAATAGATTCCCCGTGGGGAAGTATTCAAGTGGGTCGGCCATATTTGACCCTCGGCCTAGTTCGTCCACTGTTCTGAATGTGGCCCAAGATTGAAACCGAAGACTGAAGTCGTAATCACATCTATGCTAGTTTGAAATATCAATCTTTTTTTATCAATCAATCAATTTTCTCTACATTTAGTATAAAGGATATGCATCCTCAATTGTGAAGCCTAGGCACATAGTATGCATCACCTTTAGAAAAGATTTATGAAACAAAAATATATATGAAATAAATAAATACATAAACCACATTTGTAATTATGTCTTTATAATGTCGAATTTGTTTAAAACTTGATAGTAACATTAATAATTTCAGTTGTACCTTCAGGAAATAAATATTTTGATGGTATTTACTTTATTTGCATTATAATGGAACTTCCCAGACCCTCTTTCAAGTTGCATTTCCAGTACATGTATACATAAATACATGCAGATATACATATAGGGGATAAAATCCATATGAAATAATTATTTCTAACCACGAGCAGCCAATCTAGTCCCATTTAATCCTGCCGATCTAGTCCTCTGTCTAATTCTGCCAATCTAGTCCTGTTTACTCCTGCCAATCTAGTCCTCTGTCTAATTCTGCCAATCTAGTCCNAATGTAATTAGACCTGCCCTTACGATGACTTACAAGTACTACAATTTGAAAACTGCATGAATATAACTGTTTGACTTCCAATCATAATGAAATCAGAAATACACCTATGCAAGTTATTTCTAAACACAAAAGTATAAATCTGAATCCTATATGGAAGAGTATGATACTGTAATTTGAAAGATGCATATATTACTTTTGTCCATTACAGCGGGTTTTTATCCATAACATTACTTACCAGCTCTCATAAGCATAGGATTCAGATTCTTATACTCAGCTTCAGATTTGACGAATAAATTTCTACAGTAATGATTGCATTCTTGACTGTGGGACAATCTAAATCCTTTCCATCTACAAATCTACACACGGATATATCAAAGCAAACATTATCTCAAATAAAACAAGTCTACAAAGATGAGGTTTATGTACCATCTTACCATAATCTTTCAACAAAAATCAGCTTCTCACACATCTGTCTATTTTCAATTGTTCTCTGCTCAACAGTATAAGGGTATAAATGAATGTCAGCAACATGCAGTTAACCATGGGGATAATGAAAGATTCATTACACCTGGCCTGAGATGACATTTGGCTGTACATCATAATTTAATGTATGGCCGCACTGGCATTTGCAACTGTATAGTAGCAGGAAGTGACTGTACACATAAAACATGTACACAGTAGCATATGTATCTGTACACCTTTCTCTGTCCTTTGTCATGTATTAATACATATATGTGCATCCATTTGAACGAACCATACAGAAATGAGAGAGAGAGAGAGAGAGAGAGAGAGAGAGAGAATCTCTGTCAATTATCCTATCTCGGATTCTCCAAATATCACCAAGTTATGAAGTTCCTAAAACCTTAATCACATCAAACTAAATGTTGTAACTTTCACATACCCTGCTCTAAAATTGACATCTTCAGGGGGTGCACCTCTTCTCCTAGGGAAAGCATACCTGATCTGTAGTGTTCAGCCTTTGTCAAACAAAATCGCACACTTTGCCGTAAAATACCACTTGGAGACAGCAACAAATTTTCCCGTATAGGAAATAGTAATCTAGTAACTGAGATACATCCGTTTTAAGAATTTCTTATCACTCACAATAAATCAAGAAGCAGTGTGTCGCATTCTGATGTGAAGAAACAAAAATGTTCACTGTCCTTCACAACTTTTACCGTGATTGAACAATGATTGATTCAGCAGATGTCTTCTACTATTATAACATAACACCGCGTGATCTTTTTCTTCCTTTTCAAGCATGGACTTCCTTATATTCTTCCTTTCCTCTGACCAAACTATTTTCCCACTTTTTGGAGTATCAAATTCCTTTAAATTTTCCTTCTGCTCAGACCAATCTGTACGTTCTTTTCAAGCTTCCAGCTTTTCAACATTGACTAAATCTCAGATTTTAGTACTTTTATTTATACCCGACAGTGTGCGTGTGCGTAAGTGAGTGGAAAACCACATATATCATTTTGAGTCATATTGAGGCAAGAGGCCTACAGCTTATACAACTCACTACTAAACCACCCACCAACATCATGAGACTGCTACCAGAGGCAGCTCTGACTCTTCTCTTACATGATCCTTCAATCCTATTTTCCACTTACATCTAGGGAATAAGCCTCGCAATAAGTAAATGGAGTGACCGAGTTCTCAGAAATATTCATACTTTTAGTTTTTTTTTAATAATCACCTAAATGACCTTGCACCTCAATCTATATTTCAACTTCCCTAAAATTATGAGGTTGACACTTTTGTCATTATTTTCATTTTCACTTTTAAGGAGCCATAAAAAACTCTTTGCAACATAAAAGTAAAATGTGCCATGTCAAAATGTAAGCAAAGAAAAAAAAAACAAAAAAACAAAACAGGAATGATTAATCCAAACCACCATCCCCTCCAACTGCAGTGGGAACCAATCCACAGAAACAATAATGACAATTCAATTAGTAAATATTGTAATATCATGCGATATTGTGTTTTAAACAATTTCCCACTATCCACCTCACCTTTTCCTACACCCACACTCTCACGGAAACCCAGGTAGACCTTAAATCTACCCAAGCAATGCCGCATTTAGAACAGTGGACTACGGTAATATGCCAAACAATTCGACCAAGATTAATTAATTAATTTCATGGAAATGTCAGTTTGGTCGAATTGATTAAAATACAGCAAATGGAAACCTTTGATATCGTCGGATTGTTAGGGGCATCTGCCAAAACGTCCATCTTTCCGGAAGTATTGCATTTTACCGGAAGTGTGACGCAAGATAAGCCGCAATTTTCGCCTAACACGTGTTTCAGGCTTGTTTTATCCTCCTTTTAAAATCTTATTTGGCTGTGTACAATATGTGCTAACATTACTTAACATTAAAAAAGACGACAATTATAATTTCTAATTATATATTTCCCTCACCTACGATCATTTTCATGATGCGCTTCACGAGTGGGACGAGTATTTCCCCAGAGACAGGTGTTGTAAACAAAGGCCGGTCACTTATATTTGAAACCGGTAGCTTTAGTAGACTTAAACTAATTATGTGATCTACGTACGCCCTATTTGAATTTTAATATGACAACTGAAATNTTTTTTTTTTTCTAAACCATTAAAAAGGCTTTAACCCCCCCCCCCCCCCCCCCCACCAATGTCCAGTTTGTAGACTTGTGAAAATGATTATATAAATAGAAGACCCCTAATGCTACAGTTAAAAAATACAGTAAAATTGTGTACTCACTCTCATGCTTGGACAAAGTCGACGGACTCGAGTCGTTCTGGGCCAGGCGGAAATGCTGGAAAAAGGTCACAAAGAAATGAAAGGTAACATAAATTACTGGCAATCAATAAACGAGGTATGCGGACAGTGGCCTGTGATGTACACCGCCATGTTCATAAGGGTCAACATGGGGGTGTGTATTGGCCGTGTCAAATATTTCTTTCATATTGATTACCCAATATTGCCCAAATCAATGGTTTGTAAGTAACACCTGAAAGAAGTGAACCACTTAAAGGGATAATAACTCTTCCTATGAAATCTGTATTTCACCATAAAAACATTGTGAATGACTCATAAAAATATAATATATTCTGTTTTCCCACAAAAACGGCTGTTATAGCTATTATTCTGATATCTGAGCTTGTCTTTAGACCACGTGACCTCCATTGATAGCTATACTCTGTTAAAATCTCTTAAGAGATTTTAACAAAAAACCTAACTTTTTAGAAAAAAAAACAGGGACTAACTTTGAATGTAAAAATGGATTCATTAACCATTAGTAAGTATAGGAAAATTGTTGTTTACTCCAGGAAAATTCATTTTTTGGCAGAAACGAAGAGTTATTATCACTTTAAGTGGATCTAAAAAGGAATGTAGGGTTTATTAAATAATACAAAAAAATAAAAAAAGATAAGACATCTTAAAAATATGAAAGGAAGTGGTTCTGAAAAAGAAAGTAAGGTTCAAGTCAGAGAATTCTATATTGCAAGGTGTCCTAACTAACAAAAGTCCTAACTGGACACCATAGTTGATTTGAGCTTGATACAATTGTTTCTTTGTGAAATGGCCTACAATCACCAACACTTATGCTAGTAAGCAGAAAACTT